ATCCTACGCAAGGCCACCTGGGTTGGCTGGAAGACTGTTTACTTAGCCTGGCAGGGCAAAGGATACTCTCTCAGCTGAACTCTGGACACACACAGATATACATTCATCCCCGCTCCCCTTCCAAATGCCTTCAATGCTTATCCCCTCCCAATGCAGACGGTGGATCACAGGAAACCTGCGCATATGCTGCAGGCCTGGATGCGCTGTCTACAGTGGCTGTCTCTCACCTTTTATCCATCCCTGTTGCTTGTCATGTATTTCTATGGTGTATTAAGAGTTTTTCATGTACTATGCGCTGAGGTGTTTTTTTTTCTGTTCCCAAACTGATCTCCCTGTTGGAGCTCAGTCTTGGGGGAGTTCTTTTTTCTCCTTGTCTTTCCTGATGTTGTGCAATTTTCCATTGTTCGGTCCCGGGTCGCTGCTCGTGTAGCTGACCGGCCAGCTACCCAGCCTGACCTGTCTCCCCAATGTGATGTTTGTCTATTGTATGTACGGTCGGCAAAGTCAGTCTCTTAATCTCCCCTTGGGGATAAATAAAGTCTTCTGAATCTGAATCTCGATTGTGGGTAACTGCAACTGACAAATAAAGGCTATCTCATCTCATCTCATAAAGAATGTCCAATAATGGGCAACCCTCCAGTGCTTTCGGAAAGGTCATTGACCAATTTGATCCATCCTACACAGAACCAAGAACTGAACCAGATCAGACTATTGTGACTCCAAAATTTGTCAGTGTTTTGTATCATTTCCTTGTGGTTCTGTCATTTATTGTCTCATCTTAGTCTTTTTGCAGGTCTTCTGGCCTTGCACTTATACACAATCTGTATCTGAAATTCCACAGTTTGTCAGTAGGTGAAGGCAAAAGACTGTGGTGCGTTCAGCTGCTGAGCATTAAGTGACAGGAGTGGTTTTTTTGTGTTCAGGCAGTGACTGGAGGCGAGGGTCTACCTGTGGCGGTCCAGTGTGTTGCTCTGCCGTGGCAGGATGAGCTCTGCCTGCGCCTAATGAAGGAAGTGGAACAACTGGTCAAAAAGAGCAAGAAGTAAAGCTGCTTTCTTTCTCAGTCTCACAGGAGAGGCTGCAGACTTCAGAGGAGACATGTTAACTTGAGTTTTCCCCATAAATGCTATTTAAATGTGTCAAAGGGTTGAGCATCTTCTGCACTGCCAGTAGGGTTGACTGGGGTTGGTTGTCACACTGTTTCACTTGCATGCATCGTTGATGATTGAAACCCTTATATAGGATTGGTTGTCACGAGTTTTGGGCTTTGTTGTCACTTTGTTGTAATTATCAAGTGAGCTTCAGTAAAAAAAAATATACAAACAAAATGTAGAACTTTTTCAATTTTTTGGAATTGAATTTCCAGCATGTAATAATGTAGCCAAAAAAAACAACAGAAGAGAGCAGCTTCCACATTCCACGACTGTATTTTGAACTCATGTATTATTGATATTATTGAAAAAAAAGTTCCAGAAGTTCCATATAGCTTTTAGAAGACAGGCTTTTTGTTCAAAACTTCCCAACAGGTAACCTGAGCAGTAGTGAGCAAGGCAGTTTAAACATGTGAGAATTAAAACTGACTCAACTGCTCCATGTTTTAAGTCTTAATGCACGCTAGATTATAAAGGTTTCTCCGTTTTAGGGTTGCTAGT